TGTATTAAAGAAATAAACTAATTAAATTCATGGAAAGGCAAGTCTAACGGTTCATTGGGCGGTCTTAAATGATCATTAGACAAATGCACATATCACATTTTTTAGTCATTTTACTAATGAAAATGAATTTTGATTATATTTCTATGAGTTCTGTACCAATGTTTATACGTTAGACTGTGGCAAAGCGCTTACGCGCTCTGATATTTGGTCTCTTAAACAATAACTCGGCTCGATTGATTTGAAAAGAGGTTAAAAAATTTAAAAATATAAAGAAACTAAATTTTCAAAAGTCATTTTTTTTCAAAATTCACAAAAATCTAATTTTTTCAATGTTCTCAAAAATGTTTAAACTTTTTTTAAAAAAAAAAAAAAATGTGAAGGAAAAAAGACACAAACTATGCACCATAAGTTATTGTATCAAAATCATCAGGCTCTTGAATCATAAAAATATCAAAAATTATATTTTTCGTTCAAGACTCAATAAACTTCATCTACCAGCAGTTAATAATGGATTTGAATTACATCATTTATCTCTTAGAAGAAATAGTTAATATGTTACAGCGTTTCATTGTTTGACAAGCGGCGACAAACTGAAAAATTAGATGTCTTTGTTCGGTTGGACATTCGTCGAGTCGGGTAGATCGGGCAGATCGGGCAGATCGGGTATATCGGGGACTTGAATCGGCAATCGAATTCTAAGTCACGTCTTTGGCGATGTAAGTCTCGTTCCTCGCAGGACCCATTTTGAACAATAAAACACGTGTCAGCTCGTGTACTTTATTCTCTCTTTTGCCGTCGATATACGGTACACGGTGCCCGGTACATTCGCTCCTTCCAACTCTCTACGTAGAGTAGAGAGTTAAATGTATACTCGGATGGCAGTTTAAACTGTTCTTTTTCACCGTTCAGCTACTTGGAAGTTTTCCAATTCAAGCCAGATTCTCAGACGAGAGAGATTTTCGCAATACATTGAAATAAACTATTATCTTTCATCTTAAGTTATTATTCTAATACGGTATTTCACCATTTTCAGACCAGAGATTTTGTACTAGATTGAAATATATCATCTTTCATCTCGAGTTATTATTACTGTATTTTACTATTTTCAGATGGAATTTAGTTATACTTGAGATATTATTCTAATGCTAAATTTCACTATTTGCAGACCAGAAAATCTGTCATGCATTAACATATATTACTATTCTTCATCTTATTATTAATTATTTTAAATTATTTTGTTTCACATTGAAATGTATCATCATTTATCTTGAGCTATTCCAAAACTGCATTTCACTAATTGGATGCCACACATATTGTAGCAATATTGAAATATAGGGTGGAGCGGGGCTTAAAGAACCGCGGGTAAAAAAGTTCGCCACTATTATGTCAAATACAATTAAAGTACAGATTTTTTTAACTATACTATTTTAAAAAAGAAAGCTAAAGATATGTAATAAGCCATCTTAATTCTTCCGACGTCGCTAACAAGGGATAAATGCCCATGCAAGAACACTAATAGCAATAGTATTTTATTTTGCCGGAAGTTTTTTTTAGTTTTGAGCTTTTTTATTTAGTTTGTGAAGTCTGGATATAATTTCTAAGTACCTATAGGTTATTTAATTGTTTTAAAAGATGCATTATTATTTTTAAGATATACTCAACAGTTTTTTTATATACATTTTATATATGTAACTTCTATAAAAATATATATAACCTCTATATAAACTGGAGCAAATTAGCTCCAAGTCAGATTAAGTATGTCATGATTTTTCATAAACAAATAAGTGTAACAACAATTATTTATTCACGGAAATCCTCTCCATAAACAATAAGATAGAATAAGAAGAAATAGTTCAAAAATTAAATTAAAGTAGTAATTTTACAAGAGATAAGTTGAATTAATAGTTATTCCATCTCTGTTGGTAAATATTACTCACAGAAAAAACCTGATTATAAAATTTTTATTTTGCACTGTTTAAATAATTTATTATTTCGTGAAATAAGACATTGTATCTCTACCCAACCTATAGGGTAAAAATAACAGGTGACAAATTTTAACAAAATAGCTGAAAACACATTTTTACTGAATGAGAAGTTTATGTTTTCGCCAAAAATTTACTAATTTTATGTTTTCTCGACGTTTCAAAGCCATTCTGAATCGAATGAGACAAAAGTTGGAAAAAGTATGTATGTGTAAGCGGATTTTTGACGTTTTCTCAAAAACGACTGAGCCGATTTATAAACTTAGAAGCCATGAGGATTAGCGTTTGTCGAACTTGATCAGCCAAGCCGTTTTTTGTTAATAGCAAAAAAGTGCCCACGTTTTAGCCCAAATTTAAAAACTGTTTGTAGGATATTGGTTGTTTGATTAGCTTTGCGAAAAGATCGGCCAAGCCATTACAAATATCTTTGAAATTAGCAAAAAAAGTAAGTGTGGAGCCTACAAAACTTCTCTGTTGTGTAAACATGTTTACCATTTATTTAAATGATTAAATAATATCTATCAAGGACTAGATTGCACAGTATTTCCTTATAGCAAATGCTTAATATTTCACAAAAAAAATTATTAAGTTTCTCAAAAAAATATTTTGATGTTTTTCATGAAATATAACGTGGCGATAAAGTTCATGCACTAAATAGTCCTAAAATTGGTCGAATTATATAAATTGAATAAAATTTTGAATAATATTCTTCAACTTCAGGGCATAAGCACGTGTCTGTGCACTGTAATTAATATAATTACAAATAATTTAAATGTGTTTGAAAATCAATTGAAAATCGGAATGTTTAGATTTAAATGTAAGCAAAAACCTTATTTTCTAAATAAACATTTGAACATTTTATCTAAATATCTAAATCTCAATTTCGATCAGTTTAATTATTACACATTTCGGGAAGTTCATGTAACATACCTTGAGGAAAATGCCACTTTCAACTAGTATTTTTTAATGTGAAACGTTTTTGTGATCATCCAGAGTTTTCACCGAGTTCCGTCAAATGATTTTTAACTTTTGGTAATCGTTGCATCCATTTTAAAAAAAATTCGACTAAAGTTTAATTATTTGCTTGACAATTAGGACAGATCTCATATACAAGTGTTTTCCCAATTTTGATCTCAACTTTTTGGCCATTTTGTGTTAAATGTGATCTAAACTTTTCCGTTAGAAAGTAAATGAAACATGTGACTTTAATATTGCATAAATATTTTAAAATCAATCTCCTATCATAACGATTTCATTATCATTTTATTTAAATACAGAATGAAACATATGACTTTAATATCACCTAAGCAAAAGTAGGTATTCGAGAATATGTGATTCAGTGTATTTAATAATGTAAAGACTTTTATCGTCGGTCTACTTTCTTGTTAATGGAGCCATTAGTCATGCGATTACGTAGATACTTCATTGGAGATTAAACTTGTTTGAAATTGCTTTTGAAAATGTAATATGCATACATGCGGAAATTAAATTATACATCGCAACTGCATCTACGTTTAATGATTTTAATGAAATTCAGTATATTTCGAATCGTAAAATATAAGTAGGTATTGGTAGTATTAAGTCACAGCCATAAACCCATGGTAGTAAGAATTTGCCGTATGAAAGTTGCATGAACTTACCGCTATATATATATATATATATATATATATATATTATATATATATATATATATATATATATATATATATATATATATATATATGTAAATATACTTGATCAATGTGAATCCTAATTAAACATCTTCAAAAATTATGACTATCGAATTTTGAAATTATGACCCAGTCCACTATTCCTAATTTCAATAAATTTATATAACTATATTTCTCGCTGGACTGTAATATTTTAGGATATTTGAAAAACATGAACTCTATCTTTTTATAAAGTTTAATCCTAACGATCATAAAAATCAACAAATAATTACAAAGAAACTACCGGACCTCTACATAAAACTGAGCAGTACCATTGATTTTTCGAAAACGGTTCAGAAATTTTGGTGAAAACGTGGATAATTTTTATTGCTCTACATTGCAAAGTTTAGGGAAAATGTTGTAGTTAAATAACTTTTACATTTTTGAGGAGTTGTCAAATTTTGACTCACACACTCACAAATTCATTTTCTAATTTTGGTATCAAACTATTGAGAAACTATTCATTTGAAACGTCGACAAAACACAAAACTTGCAAATCAGATTCTGACAAAAAAAAAATCCGTTCGAAATTATTAGTAATAGTAATAGTATTTTTATTGACTTCGATTTACTTTGCTTCGACTAATTTTGGATATTGATTCGCCATTCATGTTATTTATATAAAAATTATGAGTGGGTAGCGACTTTTTGCAAATGGGCATAAAGTTGTTCATTCAAGATTTCACAAAATATCTTAAACAAACTTTACGAATTCAAACTTTACGAATATATTGCAAATATAGTCATGCTTGCTATGATATCATAACCAGCAAAGTTTCGTTAAAATCTTTCTTTTTCAACACTTTTACTGTATATTATTAGTGATTTTGCCCTCGCGACAACTATGATAAATGATGTTATCATATTGCTTTTTGTAGACTATAAAGCCTTTTTTCAGACGTGTTATATTCGATAATAGTTTTATTTATCATTTTTATATATTAAGTATATACTTGATAAATAGAGATTATTTTCACCGATATCTATCTAGCAGTATCTTATTTTTATATAGCAATCTTCAGCTCCATATTTTTGTAAAATTTTTACTTGAACATGATGAAAAACTAAAATATGATCATCTTCGAATTAAAAAAAAAAATTAAAATGACACTAAAACTGAATTATCATCAAACTCTTAATTGCAGATTAGAACGATATGTTCATTACCAATCTATTTAATAAAATAAATAGGTATACGGTAAAATGCGAGTAAATAAGGTTGAAGAAAGCGAAGAATATGAATGCATAAGATCATCATAGTAATTTAATCATTAAAAAAAAATTTTTCAGAAATTAAATTCAAACTGACCTGTATAATCAGAATCGTTTCGCCGTACATCCATTGGCGCCAAAGGATATGGCTCGTGTAATAAAGGTGGCTGCTGAAAGTCTTCCCGAGGTATCTGTAATAATAAAATAATTTCAATTCTATAATATGTATTCTCATAATTTTAAAAATATTGTATAATATTTTCTAAATTACTTTACAATTCATGGATTTAATTATACGATATAGACTTGGTCCATAATCATGATATAGTCAATTAGTTTATATTTTAGCATATCAATAGACTATTGCGTAATATTCAAAAACCATTTTCATACATGCGCCAAACGTCATGAAATACATTAGTTCAATAATTTTTAGGTGATAACAAATTATAATCGAATTTCCGAAAACAACATAGCGTTTCACCGCAAGTAACAAGACAAAAAAGTAAACTTGCAAAAAAAGTATTACAGATGTTCAAAGAATGAGATTATATCGCCAGCAAAAAGGTAAAAAAAAATACAAGCAGTCAATGAATGTATGTTAATTTTAATTACATCAAGTTCTTCAAACACAATTACATCATAAGTGAAGTTGCGAAAATAATATTTGTTTAGGCTTTGTATAACATAATCCACTGTGTGAACGAATATTATAGATTTTATGAATCAGCAATTACTTCATTTCTCTAATGAAGATTCATTTCTAAATGGTAATTACAATGACAAACCGATCATGTCATATTTGAAGTATGACTTTAATTACATTATTGTTTTTAAATATTATACATATTTTTAATGCTAAATATATAATTTATAATTTATAATTTATCATTATATAAATGTGTATAATGATTGACACTAATAAATGTGTGCATCACGTGTGTTACCATATTACCAATAAACATTATACAAAATTGTTGTATGATGTTTTTATTTTTACTTAAATGCCATCTTGTACCTACTGTAACTTAAATGAGTTTTACTTCAATCGCGTGTGAACCTTACGCGCACTCTTTTTTTTTTGAGTTGTGTCAGTTTTCTTGTGGAGGTGTGATATAATAGAAAAGAGTTTGTAGAGGTTAATTTGGATTTTTCTAAATTCAATGAAAAAACAGTAAATTTAGTAAGTGAGATAATGAATTAGGTATAGATTAGAAATTAGAAAATAAAAACAATATAATGAAGTAACTATAATGCTTAGATGCTCAAGCGTACATGCTTAAAAATGAATTATATAAAATTGAACAAATTTTAGAATATTGCAGGTTCAGAGATATGTTCAAAAGAATTTAAGTCGAGGTTAAGTTTTCTGAAAATTGTGTTTTTGCACTATTATAATGATAATCATTAACCTTAAACTTTGTGAAAATTTCAATAATTTTTGGAATAGATTAACTATAAATGTGTTACAATCGAATAACTATATAAAATCAAACAAAATATTCAGCATGGTGCAAGTTCACAGATATGGTTGAAAGAATTCACGTTAATATAAATTATGTAGTCATTATATTCTTATATTTGCACAATAAAAATGTTTTAATAGAAAGAAAACAAATAAAATTGTTTATAAAAGATTAAGAATAATTTCTTAAAAGAACTAAGTATAAAATTTCTTATAATAAAAATGAGCAGATCTCAGTAATTAAATAGAGCTGATCTTTTTTTAAAAATTTTATAGTCAAAAGTTTATTCTGACACCATCTTTAAATGGTTACTTATTTAAATAACACAATAATGTGGTACATAAAAATTCTTTATGGAAATACACTAAATATTTCACACAATATTAAATCGGCATATATAAATAGTTCGTGTAATTTGATTTATATGATTTTTAAAAAGTTTATGCTTTTACTCCAAAAGCAGAAATGACTGAAACTTTAAAGTATTGGTAAAAAATTCATATATGTGATCTAGTGATTCTTCTGCATAATGGTTAAAGTCGTTTTCTAGGCCTGTGTAATTTTATGTTTTAATTGTTTTTTTTTTATAAATGTGAAGCACATAGTTTAAAATTATAAAAGTATAATAATGATTTGAAATAAAACGTATTTTTGAATTGTTTGCTATTTTCATGAAATTATCAAATGGCTTAAAATTAAAAACTATAATAATTTTGATTTAAGATAAAATATCATTCTTGAACTTCTATAGAGCAACAGAATTTGAACTAAAAATTAAAATAAATAATAATTTTTGGTAAAATTTCATTAAATAAAATTTCATTCTTGAAATAACTATTATTTTTATAAATTCGCAACAGGGTATTTAGAATTACAAATCTGTTTGTTTTATAAACCACAAAGAATTAGTAAGTAATATGTTTAATCAAGTCGGAATTACCTTCGCAACACCAGTGCAATCTCCATCTGCAGATTTCCGAGACTTAAGTACTATTAAGAAGATAGCTGCGGTAAGACAGAGTATAATGACGCTTAGGGCTCCGATTACCAAACCCATGAAGTGCCTCTGGTCATCTCCATCGTTCGATAATTGAGGATTTACTGTCGGAATCAGAACATCAGTTTTGTTTATGTAGAGCTTTACATATTGACATTACTATATTAGTGACTAATTGATTTGCGATCTATTACATTCAATTATAATTTCCAGATTTAACAATATAATTAATTTTTTTAGGTTAAAATCTGGCAAAGTGATTTGAATTAAGGGGCACAACTAGTGTGAAATTTTCAAAAAATCGAATTTTCAATTTTTCGTTATTTCGATACGTTAACGCCTTTACCAATAACATACCAAAATTTTAAATTGATATCTTAAATAGTTTTTGAGTCACAGCCATTTAAACAGTATATATATAGTATATAGTATAACGATCATTTTATCTTTAAACGCCTTTTTCTCGAAACAGCATTTTCCGAAATTGCTGCAGTGATTACTCAAAAACAAATGATCCGATAACTATCAATTTTTTTTATATATTCTATATATAGTTCTTCGTGAAATGAACTATTGATTTATTGATCGGATTAAAAATAAAATTTTGGCAGTCCAAAAACGACCAAAATTTTGGGTAAAATTCGCCTTTTTTTAAAAAAACGCCGTCATTTTGTCAATTTTTGATTTTTTTTCTTTATCGTAGTTCATTTTACAGACAATATTATCTAGTTTAACGAGAATTTTTGTTTTTTAAATTTCATCCACGTAGAAGGCCGGAATCACTACAGCAGTAAAGGGCCTTTTTCTGGAAGGGCCGTTGGAGATCGACGATAACTTAAACATTTAATTTTTTTCATAAATGTATGAAAAATGTTGTATAAACATATTCCTAAAATTTTGAAATGATTCATAAAGTAGTTTTTCTAATATAAATTCCCAAAAATCACCTTTTTTTTAGGCGGTTACACTAGTTGTGCCCCTTAAACATCAATCATTACAAAAATCTAATTTTAAATTAAGACATATTATTTCGATGTATTTTCATATTATTATATTGACCATGAAAATGGCAATCTTCATGGCATTGAGCATTTATACTGGAAGGTTACAACCCTGTAGGAGGGTAGTACAGAATTTGATCGGACTTACTTAAAGTCCGCGTAGCAACATGTATAATAAATAAGTAATAAAACTATAAATTTTTCAATCAAGTAAAAATTAGTAACAAATTATTTTAGTGTAATAAGAACTTTGCAATAAATATAAAGCTTATTCCAGTAAAATCAGTGTTTCTTACAGTCACAACTATAAAGGTTAAATTCAACCTAACTAATTTTTTTATATTTTATACGATTATATTTTATATCAATTTTATTAATATATTCACATTTGTAAGGCATCACAATAATGCAAAATCATTTTTTTTGAGCATTTAATTAAGTTCCTTGCGGTTCGTCATATGATATTATTTGGTCACAAATGGATATTGAAAATTTGGAAAATCATAATTTGTACTAATAAGCATCAATAAACTTTAAAATGTTTTATTAATTTCCTATGCGTTATTTTTCCAAATCTGATACAAATATATCAAAAATATATAAAGCAATGAAGATTTAATTATTTAATTTATTTCACCTTTAAAAATCATATAATATACCAAAATTTTGTACATAACGAGAGAAGTTTTGTGTACTGCTCGTTTAGATGACACAGATATGAAAAGTCTATTCAGATAATCATTAAGTAATTTCTTTGAATATGAACAAATCCATGAACTTGAGTTAGTAATTTTTACTAACTTCAAAGAAACGGCTTGGCCGATCTTCTCGGAAACCTATTCAAAGATCCTCCTTATTGAGTTTAATTCAAAGTGAATCAGTTTAGTCGTTTTCTGCGAAAACGTTGACGAAATTAAACTTTTGACACAAATTTTGACTTTCATATTTTTCAAATTTTGATGAATTTTTAAAATTAAACTACAGATCATGACATCATCTGTCATGGTCAATACCCAAAAATTTTTGCAATATTGCACTTAAAATGCACTTAAAATGCACTTAAAAAAATATTATTTATCATTTTATAAGAGCAAGCAGAACTCATCAGTTCTATGAGCTGTTGTGTTGACACTTCTGCATATTTAGTAATTACAGAAAATAAATTATCTTAATTGAATTAATTACAGGAAAATACAACACCAAAACGATATTAGGCCTAACATTACTATTGGATTATATAATGCAATAACTTGATGAAAAAAATGTTACCATAAAGAGATAGTTAAGTATCTTGGTGCTAAAAATGATGTTGAGACCGTGTATGAAGATACAGTTCTTGATAACACCAACTAATAATTTTGGAAAATTATATTTAATCATCATTCTCTTCATAAAATACTCTCCTATAATTCTGAACGAGTAAATGATTTTTTCCATGTCCGACTTAAGTTACATGGTCTCTGAAGTATGAAATTAAAACTAATGACATTTTTTTACAAAAAGTAAGCCATCTTTTCAATTGTAAACGTTTTTCTACTCAACAAAGTTTTATTTACCAGTACGATGATGTAATTTATATTATCAGATTAAGTTAGCCGCAGTACTACTTAGGTAGTAATACAACTTGAGCAACCTTACTCTATATACAGATTTTACTCTCTTTTAATATGCCGATTTTTTTAAATATCTTACAAATTAGGAAAAAACGTTGTAATGGAAAAGTGATATTCAAAAATGTGTTATTTTAGTCAAAATATTCAAATGTATCTAAAACAAACTCACTTGAATGGCTCCTGCCCATAGCACCACCTTGGCTGACTACTTTCAATTTCTCTTGAGGTAATTTTCCTTCTGATCTAGGTGTAAAAACCTAAGTAAAATAAATAGATATAATGAAAATTAATGACCAGAATATTCAGTATATAGTTACATTAATTTATATATCATTATTTAGATCAAAAAATATTTACGAAAAATTAGTCTGCTACTACTTGACAAATAATATGTGGACAAATGGTAATTCTGCATATTCATTTGAAACAAAAAATCGTGTTTTTACAGAGAAAATATTTACAAATGTATATTATATTGTGGTATGTATATTATATTGTGCTTATAGTACATTATTTTAATTTATAGTATATTTCGTTCATAGTTTACAGAATAAATATACGTTCAGTCAGTGTGCTTGATATCAAATCTATTTTTATTATATAATTATTTTCAACAAATTTCAAATAAATTATATATTCATTTCACGAATTCATTTCATTTACATAATTAAAAATAACATTTAGGATACAGAATTTATTAAAATATTTTACCTCATCTCGTTGAAAAGGATCCTCTCTCGGTTCTTGCCCGTTATTTATTTGTAGATCTGGTAATGTATCAAAAGTAGGTTCCGGAATTTCTTCGGAACTCACCGGCTCGTCTGGTTCTTCGCTAAAGTTACCATATATTGGTACTGTAATTAGAATAAACATAGTATTCAGTTTAGGTTTTGAAATAATTGTAGGTAAAAAAATAGGACTTATAGTGCTGATAGGAAAACAATAACACGACACACAAATTTCAAACATAAGTAAAATTTATTTATATTTTTTTTGAATCATTTGTTAAAGTAAGAGCTGAATATGAATATCTTCAAGGTGAATATTTAACAAAAAATTCTATTATTGCATTATAAATGTTCTAATCTATATTAATATAAAATATTGGAAAACACATTAAACTTTAATATTTTATATTATTAGATGTTTTATAGATTTCAGATATTGTTTTCCGTTGTGTTATAAGTTTTCAGTATTATACAAAATTTAAAAAAAATCATAATATGAGACATGACCCAACAAACTTGTTGAATAGGTTCACTACGTTGATATTCTGTCCTAATATCGTCTTAATTTAAAATTAAAATTGATTCAAAGAAACAAAATTTGAAATTGTATTTGTTATATTTTTATGAAATCGAGAAAAGACACATTTTGACTGGAAAACCAAAAGATAATAATGGACAGTAATATAAATTTAAAAACGATAATAGTTGATCAATTAGAAAAAGTATAATGTGCCTCATTTAATACGTCCATTTATTACAAAATAAACTGAATTCATTTTTTCATCAAAAGTAAAAATATTTTAGGATTCTTAAACCAAATGTTTGCTTTGTTAATCATCTGTATATATGTCCATTCACCACATATATTTTATACTGAAATAATAAAGACTAAAACTCATTATGCAATGTTGATTTATGACTTTAAGTAAACAGTTGTGCTCCTAAAAATTGTATTTCCAATTAATTCGGTATGTTTAATTTATATTCTATTATAATTTATGTTTTATGTATTAAAAATTCAAAATACACAATCATTTAAATAAAAAATAATAGAAGGAAAGTTTTTTTGCGACAATAAACATAATGTAGTTAAATGTAGGGCTATAAAGATATATCAATTAATTGTATAATTTAATAAATTAATGAGAATAAGTCATATTTGGCATTTTGTCATTTTTTAGACATGTAATATAAAATTTATCTAATATAAACTTTCAGTTTGCGTTATTAAACACTGAGTAAGTTGTAAAACCGCACTTTTTCTAAAAATTGATTAATTGAGAAATAATGTAAAACAGTTGTTTCAAAGTTTTACTTGATTTGCAGAGAAATGATTACAACAACTATCCATCTTTATTTCGTAGAAATATTTTGCAGAATCCGAGATGTATTTAAAAAAAACTGTTTTACTAATGATAAAATTAGCATATATTTTAGGCTGTTTTCTTGAATATTTATATATTTGCTATTTATTTTTATTATTTTTCACACAACATCTATATTATAAGTAAAATATCAAATTAAACATAATAGGTACTTAGGCATAGTCGGGTATAGTAGGTAATTGGGCATTAAAGAGTCCATCGAATTTCTTCATATGTATTTTGAGATAAAGCTAAAATTCTGGTAAAACTAAATAGCATTTTGCAAGTTACATAAACTTAAAATAAATAATTATATTATATTATGAGTGATTTATAATATTCCAAATGGATCTATATTACACATTCTCGAAAATCAAACACGTAAAGCAAATTTTCAAAATTTGAATGTTTTACTATGTTCATTAAATAGGTACTCTATCGCCATACCAAGTATCACTTATTCATCGAGGTTCTTTCTTTCAACAATCAATAACAAAAAAACTGCCTGGCCAAACTTTGTCTAAAACTGATCAGGACGATTCCCAGAGGAGAAAAATTAAATTCGCATCTTGGACAAGAAAAGGTTATTTTTTCGGAAAGTTAAAAATGCGAAAAAAAACTGCTACTAAAATTAATAATTTCATATAACAAAAGCTAATTTTTATGGTATATACAATTCAATGAACATCGATTCAATGAATAGTATATAATATATTCTAGCTAATAAACTTTCAACTCCAATAATTTAATAAAAAATCAAACGTATTTCTATTTCAGTTTATCTTCATGCATTTTTCTTTAACTCGAGTATCAATGGTTCAGATGAACAATTTTATTAAATTAAATATTGTACAAAGGCATTGAAAAGTCATTAAATTCCCTCATATCCACATTTCAAAATTTCATTTAACAATATATGTCAAACACACGAGCGTCATACTTTGCCGTACAATGATCGCGCAATAAAGCTCGGTTACTTTAATCTGCCGTTGTGTTTCTTTGCGATATTTTTTCTCCCGCAAATACGAGCCATAAATAAGACCACAAGCAATTTATTTCATCCTTAATAAACTTATTTCTATTTATTACACACTAAGAAACCCACACGTCGTGCCGCTCTTCCACATAGATTTGCAGCAAAATACTTGGCTTGACTCGCTCACCGAGGATTTTCAATTACAAAATTGTTCTGCGGCGACACGGAATTAGAAAACAATGTTGGCATTAAACCCGTGCGTGGAATACTCAGAAATAATTTATGGATTTGAATTTTTTACTGGCACTAAGTATTTGGCAATTTCCAAATCTACTCTAATATTATTTAATTGACTAATCAACTATATCAAACTCAGCACCTTAATAATATAGCAGACAAATCAACATATTGTATAATTTATTATAATTAGTGTTGCATGGCATCGTGCCTTAAGACAAATTGCTGGTACTTGCCGTACCAGAAATTAAAATAAAAAAATGACTTTTTTCAATTTTTTTTTATATTTTGACTTTTTTTGAAAATTTTGATTTTTTTCAAAGCAATCGTGCTGCGTGGCTGTTTTAAAGTCTTTTTTTTTTCAAAAAATTTTAAATTTTCAATATTGTCACTTTTCAAAACATTCAAAAAATTTTAAGGTTGTTTTAAAAAATATTGTTTTTGGTACGGGATGGTTAAGCAATCTGCCTTAAGGCACGATGCCATGCACCACTAGTTTTTTTTTACTTTTTTCACTAGATTTTCGAAAATGTTAGACCTGCATTTCCAAAAATTTAATCATTTCTTCATTTTGTCAATATAAGTAAAATGTTTTTGAATTATTGAAATCAAGTTAATGAACATTTTATTTACTTACTATTTACTTTTTTCACTAGATTTTCGAAAATGTTAGACCTGCATTTCCAAAAATTTAATCATTTCTTCATTTTGTCAATATAAGTAAAATGTTTTTGAATTATTGAAATCAAGTTAATGAACATTTGTATCTGCACACAGTACGCATACAACATTTTTTTCTAAGTTGTGTCAATGAGTTCAGAAACTTTAGAAACATGGAGATATATAAAAATTTTCATTTTTGCGATTATTGTAACTTACCCTACAGAAAGTTATTAATATCGACACGAATAATTCATAGTTTTCTGAAAATAAGTAGGTTTAATAATTAAGCATTCGTTTTCTTAATTTTGTGTTTATATCACAAGTGTGGTTTTCATCGTGGGTTAGAGTTTAGACCTCTTGCCTTCCAAAATAAATTGCAGGTGATATACCACTCTCGGATAGCCAATTGTCAAGCAGTAGTGATGTCGGTTTGAATAGATGCAAAATTTAAAAATCAGAATAATAATAATTAGAAAAATTCTAGAAATAAAATATATCAAACAAAGGTAGACCAACCGTCGGATTGCCTTCTAAGAACTCAGACAAGAAGTACCATCATAAATGTTTTGATTGCTACTTTAAAAATATAAGTGTATTGATGAAATTAATATACGTCGTTTATTAGTATATCTGCATACAAACTGATAACTTTAAGATTTACGTTCCTATATAACAATAAGAAAAAATTCGAAAACATCTTATTAAATTAAATAACTTTTCCTATAAAAATGTACTCATGAGTTCTATGAACTGCTGTGACAATACTTTTTAACAACTTGGTTTTTTCTAGAAGAAAATACAAATATCGTTCAAACTATAATAACCATATATTTTATAATAGAATTTCTTTATTGGTGCTGTTATATTTTTAACTTAATAGAGCAAATTCTGGGTAGAACTATTATGACTTGAATACGTATTTTCACCTATATGATCAAAAATAATGAATATGGCACATTGCAACACTCATACCATCTCGGTAACTAAAATTGCATTAAACCACGATTTTAATTTGTAACAACACCGCAATAATTAAATTCAAATAATAAAATTATTACCCTTAAACACGAAGCCGCATTTAAAATGATATTCAATATTGATGGTAACATTTATGAAAAATAACATAATTATATACCTTCATTAATGTATTGTTGTAAATAAATTCTTTAGAATTATATTGGTTCGAAACAACTTCGTACTCAAATGTTTGCTACTTCCTTCAATAATTTTGTAATTTTAATTACATGAAATTACGAAATTTTTTAAAAAATTTACCCGTTCTCTTCCTTGTATTATCTTATTCAGGCATCCGGAAAAAGGTTTTGGTTCCTAGTTGATATTGAAATTTGAACCAAAAAGTTAATAATTTCGAACATATTTAAATATACAATTTCGTTTTTCAACCGCAATTTAATCAACTGAAAAAATATTAGATTTGATTTGTGCAATTTGTGCAAGCAATTAGTAATACAAAGTATAGTATTTGCAAACAATAATAATAATAATAATAAAAGTTGCAAATTGTTTAGTACAAACTGCATTTATCTGGTTTTTAACTGAATTTTGACATTGCGATTATGAAGCATTTTTTCTGAAGTTATATTTAACAAGAATCAGAACTATTAGGTGTTGCATGATTTGTTTGAAATGTTGCTTATTTTTGGGTAAGTGTTATTAGAAGGCAATCCATCGATTTCCTAACTAACTAAGACATAGTTTATATTAATTTTAGAACACTATTATAGAGCAACCACTTGCCTTATTAAAGGATTCAACGTTTACCTCACTAATTGTAATATTCAGCTATATCCACCAAGAGGGATTTCCACTGGAGATTATATTTCAGTTAACCGTTTACGCCACGGCGGTTCTATGAAACAACTTTT